CGTTTCGAACGCTTTACAGCACTCATGGTCACGGGCGGGACTGAGATGTTCAACGTCCATATGTCATAGTTAACCGCGTTTACCATAGATTAAAATTTAACTTTTGTTCCGATCTATGCAGTATGAACTTATGGTATCTTGAAGTCTTGCAGTTGTATGCTTGGGTTGGGATTTAATTTTATTTATTATAGGATCCCAAGCAGATGGTAGCACCCAGCCATCTTCTCTATTGAAATCATGATGTTTTTTGATTTCAATAGCCTCGCGAATCATCCTTGGAAGGAATCGGTGTTCTTTAGCGAGGATTTGCGGTCTATCAAATCTGATGTAGTGACCGGGGGCGATCCTGTACGTGTTCACAGACTGCAGACTTCCCGGAGCGTCGATTCTTCACATCAGCTATATGTTCTTCAACGCGGGTTTTTATTGATCTTTTAGTTTGTCCTATGTAGGAGAGACCACATTCACAATCAAGCTTGTACACTCCTGCATCTTGCAGAGGGACATTACACTTGACTGATGGTAAAAACTGACCAATCTTCTTCAGCGGCTTGAAGTATGTTTTGATGAAGCGCGCTTCAAGATGTAAAATGACTCAATATGCTCAAGAATTTTCATCTAGAAAAGCTAAGGAATTGTTTGCCTCTTACTCCATTGTGAACTGAATTTTAGAATTTATAGAGTTAAGATGGTCTAAAAATGCAGTTATTTTATCTAAAAGTAGAATTGTGAAAGTGTCGTCTACGTACCGCTTGTAGAATCTTGGATTTATGGGAGAACTAAGCAGGGCTTTCTCCTCAAAGTCTTCCACGAATATGTCGGCGACAATGGGAGATACAGGTGAGCCCATCGCCACAGCCATTCTAGATGTGTTAGTAATTCGGAATCCTGATAACACCTTGAGCCATACTGTGTATAGAAAAAAAGACCCATACAGATAGATATTTAAACGGTGATTCTCACCACCATCCTTCACAGTTAGCTACCGTGGGTAAATCTTTGTTTCAGAGAGCACGAGGGATCTGTGACAGTAAACACCTGGCTGCAGAGCTCCACCATGTCAAGCAAATTTTGCATGACAACAAGCTTCGAGTCCCGCGCCTACGTCACAGTGAACGAGTGAAGCCGGACACAGTCGAGCGTGTACCTGCTGTACTGCCATATGTTAGAGGAGTCACTGACAAGATTGGCTACAACTTGAAGCGCGCTTCCATGTTTTGATACTTCAAGCCGCTGAAGAAGATTGGTCAGTTTTTACCATCAGTCAAGTGTAATGTCCCTCTGCAAGATGCAGGAGTGTACAAGCTTGATTGTGAATGTGGTCTCTCCTGCATAGGACAAACTAAAAGATCAATAAAAACCCGCGTTAAAGAACATATAGCTGATGTGAAGAATCGACGCTCCGGGAAGTCTGCAGTCTGTGAAGACGTACAGGATCGCCCCCGTCACTACATCAGATTTGATAGACCGCAAATCCTCGCTAAAGAACACCGATTCCTTCCAAGGATGATTCGCGAGGCTATTGAAATCAAAAAACATCCTAATTTCAATAGAGAAGATGGCTGGGTGCTACCATCTGCTTGGGATCCTATAATAAATAAAATTAAATCCCAACCCAAGCATACAACTGCAAGACTTCAAGATACCATAAGTTCATACTGCACAGATCGTAACAAAAGTTAAATTTTAATCTATGGTAACCGCGGTTAACTATGACATATGGACGTTGAACATCTCAGTCCCGCCCGTGAACATGAGTGCTGTAAAGCGTTCGAAACGTCGGGTATTTAAAAAGTTAAATATACGCAATAAATTCCGTAAAAACTAGTATTATTTCAATGTGTAGTGTTCGCGTAAATATAAGAAATCATTATGCATATGAAATTATATACGGTATTTATTACAAAAAAAAAATTGTCTGTCTGTCTGTTTGTTCCGGCTAATCTCCGAAACGGTTGGACCGATTTTGACGGGACTTTCACTGACAGAAAGCTGATGTTATAAGGAGTAACTTATGCTACTTTTATTTTAGAAAAATGTTTAGGGTTCCGAGCAAAAAAAAATTATAACCCACGAAATCCAATCGTAATAAATTGCACGCGGGTGAAGTTGCGGGGAACAGCAAGTCTTAAGTGTTAACGTCATCGTTACAGGTGAAGTATCTTTGAGTTTGTCATTACAATCCAGAAACAAAGTTGTGCTCAGAGCAATAAGCGATCGAGCTAGGTACTCTGCAGGCTACTGCTTCAACAAGACAACACGCGCCTACAATTCGTGTACAAACGAGGAACTTCTTGGATAGCACACCGTGTAAGCTTTTGGGCTACCTTCCTTACAGAGAGTTAGAAGAGTTCTTTGAAAGGATTTAATAATAAAAACTTTAATCATAAAACGTTTTTATTTTATATTCGCAAAACTTTCTGCAGAGTAAGTATAATTGATAATCCCTCCTTTTTTGGAAGGCGGTTAAAATGAGAATCCGAATTGCCCGTCCAACAAAGCAAACACCCTCTGACCGCAGCAAAACATCGTAAAATATTTACATCCCATTAAACCTTCGTACTTTCAGATTATGAATATATTTTAGTTGGCCATGACCGCCAGCGCCACTCATAATTCTTTTTTAACAATGCCGAATTGTTCCGTTTCTGGCCATTATAATGCCACGAAATGTTTATTCTGTTTTTGTATAACAAAATAAATGTTGCCTATTTACTACCTTGAACGTATCATTTAGACGCCGTTAAATCACGTACCTACTCTTCAAAAAGCGGTTACAGTCTTTTTATTGCTTTTTATCGGATCTACCTACTCATTGTTCTTTCGCAAATAGTAAAGTTTCATTAAAATTCCTTTCGGAGACGTTAGGTACATCTTATTGTTATAATAAGAATGCAAACTCGATGTACAGAACCCACAATTAGTTTATGATATTAAAACTGCGTTTTATAACAATTAACGAATATTTAAGTGCGTTTAATAATACGTTGTTTTACAATGTGAACTAGTTTGTATGATATTGTTCGTTCACACAGATATAATTAAACCATATAATATAATAGACAATTTGCATTTACAAGAGTGATATAATAATTTCTGACAGTGAACATTAGCACATATTAAATGTAAACTCCGTTAGAACTGTTACGAGTGTTGTGAATGAGATTTTTTCGACACATACTCGCACGCAGTTTTGTGCCCAGTTATCTAGTCCGACATCTATTGGATTTGCATGCGAGCCAACAATCGTCCTCTATCTCCGACGGTGGGTAATTAGAAACTTGAGAGTAGTTAACGGTAAAAATGTAAATCTCTCACAGTCGTAAAAGCTACGTCCACTACTGTATATCACCAGTTTTTTACAAGTGCTTTTTTATTTTTCTTCCTTAAAGTGTTCCTTAAAGTTTTATTTGATTAAAGCGCTTTATTCGCCATCGTTTCTGGAACAAACTATAAAATAAAAATACATAAATGCTACTGCATATACATATTACATATTTAACAAAATTCTCATTAATGAACATAAATGTTAGTCATGATGACGTACAATTTCTAAGCATTTCTAAGTATTTTTAAATTATTTACGTCTAAACTTGTAATCAATTAAGTGCAATGACATGTGAATCACCTTCATCATCATCATCATTACATCCTATCAAAGTCTACTACTCAGCCACGGGTTGATCAAATGTAGGTTATTTATTTTCTAGTTGTTATATGGGAAAACCCTGCTGCCCATCTCCTCATATGTTTCCTTGTGTTGCGCCTTACAACACCCACGGGATGATCTGGGGGTTTTACAATTTCCTTTACCACCACTACATGGTATGCCATTAATAGATAATATATATTATAAATTAGTTAACATTGGTTAATAGTAGTAATTATTTTCAATTACTTAATAACTTAATATAAGTTATTAATTATTATACATATTACTAGTGAAAAGTCGATCCATGAGGAACGCGAAGTTCAAGATTAGACTAGAGGGCCTGTAATGACATTATGACGTTAAATATAATGTCTGTTAGGTAACATGATTGTTAGTTTGAAGTTTCCATTATTTAAATGACTAAATTATGCAACATCCTAAATATCATACATAGATATAACGAAGGCGCAAAATAATAACAATAATATTTATGATACATACATATATCAAGATTATGTAACGATCTACATACTCTTAAGCCTGTTCTTGTATATATATATAATCGGGATCTCGGAAACGGCTCCAACGATTTTCATAAAATTTAGTGTCCAGGGAGTTTCGGGGGCAATAAATCGATCTAGCTAGGATTTATTTTTAGAAAATGTCCTTTTGTCCGTGTTTTCAGGCAATAAAAAACTGCTACAATATAAGAAGGTAAATTTTGACAGGTTACCAACGATCGTAATAACTCAGATAGGATGTTGTTCGGGCGTGATATCGGAGTTCCGTGGTTCGCGTCCTGTCTTGGGTCCGACTTTTTTCCTTTATTTTTCAAGTTCCCTTCTTTTGTGAGAAAATCTATTATTTCGAGCCCTTTTTTAGTATTTTTTTAAAAATACGAAAATTTTAATTAAACTAATTGCACTCATGATTTTTTATTCAAATAACCAGTTCAGTTTTTTCTATTATGTCAATAAGATCAAAAACTATTATTCATGTAATTTGTATATAAATGTAACTTAAAAAAACCGAGCAAAGCTCGGTCATCCGGGTACTATAGTATAATATTTAGAGCAAATATCGTACACGTTGCGAATAACGCGTCCGTCGATAAGCGTACTACAACAGCTATGTCAATGACTGTGATTGATGCGATAGTAATTTGCCACACACCGTTGCTCGTATCTGATACGAGTAAAATTGGCGATGACCAGACCACACGTCGACAGCGTTCACATGTAGCGCAATGAAGTTAATCGCCCTTTTAATCATTATGATTAAAAGCTATCGTTATAAATACCAAGATGTATGTTGTTAGATTTAAAAAAAAACTCTAGGATTCACTCACCATTGCCAGACTCCGGTAATATGTAGAGTATACCGCACAGAGCCGCTGCCACTGAGTTCCGTTCAGCAAAACTATCTTCACATTCATTCGATTCCACTTGTGCCGGTTCGAACAAAGTCAAATCAAGACCATCCATATCACTTCGCGCTGAAGCACCATCTTCCTCGACCGTTTTTTCACAAAAATCTTCGGGAGATTCAACTACTTTTGGGCTGCGACTGCACACTCCATCGCTAAGAGGGTCGCAGCAGCATGTATCAGAGAAAGGCTCAAAATCTCTGCAATCGAATTCACAGCGCTCAAAACTATCGCATGTGCAGGATGACAAAGCATCTGAATCAGATGCTTCCACCAAGAACAGATTATTTCCCTGCACATCTTTATGCAGAGATTCCGTTTTTGCTGAGATATAAAATACGCTGGATGTAAATGGCACTTTTTGGACTTGTAATGATATGTTTCCCTCTGAGGTTTTTTCGTCGGAGTAACCTTGTTCGTTCTCTTCTGAGAGCGCATCGTCTATCTGTGGACGACAGTCCTCATAGCGTGCGAAGCTCGATGTGTCCGTTAAATTTGAGGAGCGATCGACCGAGAAGGCATCTGCGTATGGGTCACCGGAGTCACTGTGTAACGCAGGCAAGCGGTAGGGAAAGTGCGATCGCGTTCCGAGAAAGATAGTTGTATATGGACAGGTGTTTAGAGGTCGAGTGCGGTCTGCGCGGCGCGGGTAGCTGGCAGCTAGCGGGTCCCGCGGCGGCCCATCAGCACCGAGGAACGCCTCGCTCGTGGACAGCACGTTGTATCGCCAATCCGGCATCGCAGATCCACACCATCACTGACCTTGCACTATGATTATCTCAACATTGCGTATTCACCGATTCCCAAGAAGTAACCTAAGGAAACCCACAATTACTAAAAGTTCATGGTGTTATTTGATATGGAAATTCGGTTAGCGAGTGCTGATGATGTAAATCTATTTGTTTTTAACCGAGTTCAACAAACGAGGAGGTTGTATATTCCACGCGTGGGTTTTTATTTTTATGTATGTTCACCGATTTTGAGAAACGAATAAACCGATTTGAATTATTTTTTTATTAAATAGATGACTACTTCAGGGGTGGTCGCGCATAAATTATTAAAATAATTTTCAATTATGGGATGATCTTTAGCGTAACTATTTGGTCGAATATGCGAGTTGTCACCTTGAATTTGTAATATTCCTTAGTCTCCACTTAAAAGGGTAAAAAATTAAAATATTAATAATAAGTAAAAATCGACTTCAAAAACTATATAGAAAAAAATAATTTCCACATAATGGCTTCTACAGGAGCTTTCATTCATAAATACGCTATGTCTTGCACTGATATTGGAAGCTAATTTGAAAAAATTATTTTATTATTTTTGTTTTGAAATCGGTTTTAACTTTTTACGTAAAATTTAATTTTTGTTTAATATTATACAGTTTAAATTTAGTTTGCGTTTGTTTTATATTATTAGTCGTGCCAAGGAGTAATACTCTAGAAATATACGAAATAAGGTAATAATTATAGAATTAGGTGATAATTTGATCTGTTTAATATTTATATAGATTCAACAGGTGCAATACGAAAGTAGGTCACCTTAAAACAACACTTCTTTCGAACAAAATTTACCTGCAGAAACTGCAAACAGAACAGAACTCCAAACCATTCGTATGGTATGATATGTAAAAATGCATATTATACTTTAGTTATGTTCTTGTAACTGATGCAAAATGATATTAACATATATTTACTCAAATATACAGACATGTTTGTAATGAAATATACAACTTTTTAATAACGCCCTCTTCAGACACGAGGAAAAACTTTTAAAGGTATCTGACAGTGGTGATGCTTTGTTAAAAACGTAATCTTCTTAAAAAAATTTGCGAGTTTAAGCTGGTAGGAAGAATGGTGGCATAGAATGCAATACGTTACGGTACTGGGTTGTCGACTCAGACGAGAGACGACTCCGTTAACTAATACTGTTACTGCCTTATTGTACATCAAAAATTAAAAAGTAATAACTACACAAAGGTTCAAACATCCTCGAAAATACAAAAATTAAAATAACATAATTTAAATTTAAGCTTTGTGCTTAGATGTACACTTACTTATAATTTCTATAATATCATAATAAAATTACTACCAATTAAAAGTGTTTATGTACTAAACGTTAAACATATTTAGATACATTTAACACATACAAAAAATTATAAAGTTAAATTACCTTTTCAGACTAATTTTTCACAAAGGTACCAGGAAATTGCCAAGTGTGTAAAAGGTTAATGCCTGCGAGTCGTGCTTGGAAAACGCAATTATTTTGTAAGTATATACTCTGAAATTGTTATAGCGGCTTGATAATAATAGACAAGGGTTTGGTCGTGGCACGTCTACGTCATAAGATTTTTTTACACCATCGGTTAGCCGTGATTGTTGACAGAAAATCTTTTGTAACAAACGGATGTTTCGACACAACTTTATAGGTGTACAGTTTGAATTTAATTAACATTAGAAATTAAATTATATTTGAATGTTGGACTTAGATAGTCCAAGAGGAATGAAGCAACTACTTTTCCTTATCTGCGCAAAATGTAAATTGTAATGCAGTTATACAGATGCGTGGTAAATTATATTAGGCAACTCTTTGAAGTTATCAGTGACTTAATCGTAGAAATGTGTGCCTATATCAATTTGATACATAAGATCTCCTTTTAATAGTAATTTTTTTTTCTACATTTATGTTACGTTCACTATTAAAGGACAGTTAGACGATTTATATAACAAACGATAATATATAATTATATAGACGTGGGATGACTTATATATTTAAGGTATAAGTAAATATAATCATTTTACAATTTACGTAGTATTTCATTTATTCAATCATTACATCCCATATATGCGATAACAGAACAAAAGAACAATTTCCGCCATATCTTGCGCAGTACGCGACAGATTTTTAATATTACCCACTAAGTATAAGAATGGACCAAGGATTCACCCATGAGGAACACCCATTTGCACTACGATATAAACAATACGTCATTTGATATAATATTAGCATTTATTGCTGTACAATGGTTTTGGATAATGACGAAAAATAAAAACTAAAACCTCAGTTTTTCTTATCGGCGTCCCTGAGCCAGTCTTATTTTTCAATCCGGCTACAGGTTTTACGCCAGGAAGTCTAATTAAGCCTACACTGAAAAACAATTTACTTTGGCTATAACTGCAGCAAGTATTATCGTAACTGTTTATGAAAGCTCTTACTCGTTTTAAAATTCATCTGTAACGTTTATCAAGGCATCAATCGCAGAGACCATTTATGTGGTGTATTAGAAACGTATGATGTCTCGGTAGCGCAGTAGCTAATAGGCTGCGACACTGTGAGTCGCAGGTGCATATCCGGAACATTTATTTGTATTACCTACAAATAATTCTTTCAATTCTAGATGTTTGTCCGTGAGGAGGAGAAATTCCTAATGTCCTTTATCTAGAATTCTAGTCCAATGCCCACGATTCAATACTCAACCACAAAGTCACGCGACCACCATGATGGCAATAAAAATACATGTATGTAGGTTGTTACATGCAACTAACAAGTCATGGCGTGTATTTTTAGTGTAAACCATTAGAGGTAGAAGCATTAAAAGTAAAACTGAACGCTCTTAAACATTATTGTTATTGGTTTGATACTGAAAGTTTTATTTATAAACGATAATGAGTTAAGTGCATATTATTACTTTGAGATAAAAGTATGAATTACTCACTACATTATTAATTTCTAACCATTACCTTAATCTAAAAATGTGGTAACATATTTATTGTAACTAAGATGGAGACTTAGAGTAGGTATTTATAAGCATAGCTTGCTTATTTATGCTCTAAGGTTAGAGATAAGCCAAATGTCTATGATGTAATGTATTTTTTCCACGACACAGGTATCGTGGAGACAGTTTTCACAAGGTCAAACATCCAGATGCGGAACAACCATTTGTAGGCCATACAAATGTTTATTCTGTGCGAGATTCAAACCCGTGGCCCTCAGCGCAGCAACTCATTGCTCCGCCGACACTCCGGACAGAATGTTATTAACGTGCTTAAAATATTATCATATCAATATGCAATAGTTGGAATAACAGATGGTTTTGTGCATCAAAGGTAATAATTGAGAATTAATTAACTATTTCTAATTCTGACACTATGAAATAAAAAAGGATAGAACGGCTTAGGCGCATAAAATAGCCAAAGAATCGAGATAAAGGGAAAGCTAGTGGAGCTAAACAAAATGTTATTCTTTATGTGACGATAAACAAAAATAACGATTGATTAAATCGCTAAGAAATCAGCTTCCATTTGCGATGGAATTTATAAGACTAGGGAGCATCCTGGGAGCAGAACGTACGTACCGAGGCCGTAAGATTAGTTGAGTGAGCACCACAATCCACTATTGCAGATTGTAAAGCAGGTTTATTATCGTAATCCAATCTCACTCCTAGCAACAAACATTATTTAAAAGAGTAAATCATTACAGCGGTCTTTTCCGGGCGATTTAATACAAAACAGCATATTCAGTTTAACTGCCGATTAATTAAGAACCTAATGAGTCCGTGTTTCAAACGCCTAATACGGAAGTTCTACGGAGTTTTTACTGTCAATTACTTATAATTTTTGACATATTCCTATTAAAAACAATTTAATAATTTAGTATTACTTTTATTTTCTTGATATGTTTACAACCAACAGTGGAGGGACGCTAACCGAATTAAACACCATTTCAAACATAGTTAAATTTCTATAACTTTATTTATTGCATTTCTACCAACACTGAACTTGACACTCAACACTGTTTCTGTCACTTCGATTCCCTTCACCCGTGTCCGAGAAGTATTAACGTTAAAGTTCCGTTCAGCGCTCCATAGAGGTGCGCATAGCGGGTCGCGCTGGGGCCGACTGGAACACGCCGCGACTGCGCGGAGGGCGACTGCTTATGCCAAACGAGAAACAAGACTCGCTCATCTGTTCGCAGCTGGTCGCCACACACCGGTGGACCGTTACTGATTACTGTCCGCGAGATTAACTATACCGTCACGTCAAAAACAAACACGCTCCATATTCATGATGAATCCCCATATTAATATATTACCTTTGCCTAATGGGACAAAGTATTGCGTGAAATGAAAAAGGAATACGAACAGGGGCTATATGCATATTATATTTAAAAGGTTAATGATTGAGCACTTATAAAGTTACTCATAGTAATAACATCATAGAACTAATTAGCTTAATTAAGAAAACAAAATACAGCTTACGTTTATTTGTATTTCATAAATATCCATTTCAAATTAATATAATCATTGAGTAAGAATATACTGAAATTTACGTTTGTTTTTTTATATATACTAATGATGACAAGTCCAGCTGATGACAAGTAAATACTAATCAAAATGTAGATGCGATGCAACCTCTTAGGACCGAGTTGTAACGCTTCGTATTAGTTAAAAGGGTCTCCGGTTCTCTGCACTCACCATACGAAATAGAGCAGCTTAAGGCTGCTATTACGTGCTAGTGTTCATCTACGCTAATGTACCGTATAAATTATAAATTTAAAAAAAACACCATTTATCGAATAATTTATTTATTGAAGATAACGGGCATGACAAATAACTGCCAAATTAGTTATTTCGTGACAGATTTGGGTTACTAGACTGATGCTAATCGAACAACGCAACACGCCACGCAACTGTGATGAATTGCAACAATTTTCATTTTAATTGACTATGTTTCACAGTAT